CGGCCCTGCCCGGCCGCGGGCTGACACGACACCCAAGTCCCAGGCCGAGGCGGGCCTCTCGGACCCCGCCATGGCCCCGCACCCGGGACAGGCGTCGCTCCCTCCCGCGCCCCCTCGACTCTCCCGCGACCCGCACCTTCTCCTCATGGCGGACGCTCCAAGCAGCCGGCGTCGGGTGCCCCCGACCTGCTCCACGCGGACCCGAGCGTAGTAACCAACCGCAACCAGCAGCGATCTTGCTCCAGGTCGCAGCTCCGCGAGCCGTTAAGCCCCCGCGGAATTTCAAACGGAACCCGGAGGCGGAGCAGCCCCGCGATTGGTGCCCCGTCCCGTCGCTCCTCGCGAAGCCCCGCCCCCTCGACCCCAGGCGGCAGGTCGCGAGCGCGCGCTCGGGTCTCAGCGCGCCGGGGTTCGGGGCGGGGCTCGCGCGCTGGGCGTGGGAAGCGCTCGCTCGTCGGTGGGGGCTGTGGCCGCTGTCTGCGCGTGCGCTAGGTCAGGGCCCGCGCGAGGGTCGCTTTCCTCGCTTTGCCGCAGCGGGGAGGGACATTACCCCGCCCCACTGGCCAGCCATCCACGTCGTCGGAGCCCCACCCCGCCCGGCCCCAGTTTTGATTCGAAGCGCGCGCCGCCGCCCCGAGCCCGCCAGGAAGGGTGAGAACGCCACCGCCGCCCGGCCTCCCCGGAAGCCGCCTCGCTGCCCGCAGCCGGCCGGGCGGCAGGAGCGGGTTTAATAGAGAAGCCTGGCGCCTTAACTTGTTCCGCTCGCTCATCTAGGTAGCCAGCCTGGGAACTGCTCTTTCGTGGCAATCTTCCCCAGATGTAGGAAATCATACCCTAATGGGAAGGGACGGAACAGAGGACCCTGCTCACGAGCCTGGTGCCTTTCCAGACTGATCCCATTTGATCTCCGCCACAGTCTTGTTAGGTGAGTATTACCGCCATTTTACAGAGGAGGGAACTGTCTCTAAAAGGTGGAGTTACTTGCCTGAGGCACACGATTGGTAAATAAATGGAGATCACCTGGGCGTGGCTTCCCTTTAAATTACAAGGGTTTATGTAAATATTCTATGAAAATTTTAAAACTCAAAATCGACATCAAAGTACTTTCGTATCGTTTTTTCACTGAATATTCTACATCCCTAAATGCTTATATATCACTTTTTTTTTCAGTAATTCATGGTTGTGTAATGTCCTGGCTTGTAGATATCTCATAATTCAACTATTTTGGTATTGATAGATATATAGCTTATAATTTTTACAAATAAATGTCTTCATACATAAATCTTTGTATCTTGCATTGTCTTCTTAGGGTTGATTCCTAGAAGTGCACTTGCTGAACGCTCCTTTCCCAGGGGGGCTGTATTTATTAATTTGCCCTCCCACCAAGGAAGCCTTACTGAAGAGTACCCTCCTCTTACCCTCAACAGGCAGAGTACTACTGTCCTTTTAAACCTCTGCTAGTTTCATAGGCAAAAAGTGGCATTTCCTTGTTTGATTTGCACTTGCTTGATTACTACTGAAATTGTACATTTTCCCCGTGTGTACTGGCCAACTGTAACTATGTGAATTCTCTTCATTTGCCATTTCCATGAAGGAAAAGTAAAGGATGCTTGTTTGCTTCACCTTCGGGACCATGTTTTTTTCATTTTCAGAAGAACTTCATTGGTGCTTTCAACATCCTTTAGCTTGTCAGCAGGGTGCCAAACATCTGCACCACTAATACAGTGGACCACAGGCACCACTTTTTAAATGTACTTGCATTCTTTGTTAACGTGAGAGGTTTTCAGAAAGCTTCAAACATTTGTGATCTTCAGACATGTTCCCAGAGCCAGCATTGTAAGTATCCAGAGATGACACAATTTTGCTATCATGCCCTTTACACTGTAGTTCTGAAGCTAACAAAGTCATAGAATCTTTCGAAGATAACCATTCAGAGCATATACTCATCACGTAAAACACTGTGTAATGTGTGTATAAGTATATGACCCTTTTACAGGGTCATATTATATTTCCATTGGACAGCGTTCTAGACTGTAAGTGCAATGCACTGCCTGTTTATTCACTTGGCCATAGAATCTTTTTCTGACTGCCACATATTCTTTATACAAACTAAGAGCCCTATCAGCACCGTCTTTGATCTTGCACACTAGCTTGACATAGCACTGTGAAAATTCTAGCTAGATACTTAAGGTATGCATTTTTTTTTGGAATAAGCACTGATACAGCATTACCATTCATCTTTGGAAAGAATACTTTTGATGATCCAACAACACAGGTTTGGGTCTTTCTTTTGACAAGTTGCAGCACTGTGGATTGGGAAACAGATAGGCAGAGCAACAGGGAGGGACAATATTGCAAAAACCCAGGCAAAAACCAGTAAGTACCTCTGCCATTGGGAGGGTGAGGAGAGGATGAACCAGAAGCATTTAGAAATAATGGATAGGGAGGGCCAGCCCCATGGCTTAGCGGTTAAGTGCGCGCACTCTGCTGCTGGCGGCCCGGGTTCGGATCCTGGGCGCGCACCGACGCACCGCTTCTCCAGCCATGCTGAGGCTGCGTCCCACATAAAGCAACTAGAAGGATGTGCAACTATGACATACAACTATCTACTGGGGCTTTGGGGGAAAAAATAAATAAATAAATAAATAAAAATAGAAATAATGGGTAGGGGGACCAGCTGAACGTAGGGGATAAAGAGAAAAAAATCTGAGATCAAGGATATAATTTCTTGCACAAACAAAACTTGGGTAGATGATGAGAATGTCAAGTAAGGAAATACAGAAAGAGGAGCAGGCTTAGGGATTCAAACTGGGAACAGGAGGTTCGGGTTGAGAGTTTATTTTAGACATGTTGAGTTTGAAGGGCCTGTGGGACAACCAGGTTGGAAATGCTAGTGTAAAGCTAAGCAGTGAGACAAAAGCCTGGGATCTGAAAGTGGATGACAAGGACAGAGAGAGGGGAGATGTCAACAAATGTGGATAGGCAGAGAGGAGTAATCAAAGGAGATAGAAGTACAACCTAGGAGACTGCAGGAGGACAAAAAAAGAGTGTCCTGGAAGCTGAATACGAGAATTTCAAGGAAAAGGGTGGTTATCAGTGAGATCAAGTTAGAAGAGGTCTAAAATGAGACCACTAATAGATGTGGTTATAGTTCACAATTTTTAAAAGGTAAAGGGGGAGAGAAAGGCCACTAGAATCAGCAGTTAGGAGGGCACTGGTGACCTTTATAGGAGCACCGTTTGCTGATGCCTGAAATTGCTCTAACGGGACACAGTCTTTCATTCTCCAATAAGAAACAAACACTTAAAATTGAAGTGCCTCCTTAAGTTAAAACAATAATAAACTCATTTTTTCTAAAGTGTAATGAATCACAGAATTTTATAATTGGGAGGGTGCTTGCTGATCATCTGTCTAATCCATCCCCCTCATTTTATGGTTGAGGAAACTCTGGTACAGGGCAACCTTCAAAGAAGAACCAGACCAGGCCCAGAGCTAAGACAGAGTCCAGGCCACGGAGCACAGGAAGGCCCCTGTGCTTCACTCATCAAGGTGGAAGTGCATGTCCAGAACTAAACATATTACATTTGAGAGGAGAGGCTTTATTTACAATGATACTCAAACAGGATTTAGCAAAAGATACCTCTTCCTGCTCATATCTTATCAGCATGGGCTGTACTTCATAAACAAGAGAAATACCTGGGGGCAGGAAGTGAAATCTCTCCTCAGACATGTTCTCTAAACCCCAAATAATTCCATGCTCCCCAGCTCTTAGTTGGGTAGTTGGTGGACATGTTGTTAGCAGCTGGGAGCCAAACTCCTGCATCCCACTGGGGAACGTGTCCAGGGAAGATTCAGGCTTTCACCTCACTCATGGCCTCCATAAGGCGAGCACTGTTGGTGACTGCTGTCGTCAGAAAAATGAACCTGTACCCTAAGGAGTCAAAAGCACTAGCATACGTGACAGAGTGGATCACAGGCTCCCAACACTAGCATATAAAGCCCCTCCAGTTCCATAGCCCTGGCTGGATCAGAGCACCAGTTTATAGACATAGATGCATTCATGCCATGCTCTTGGGCACAGTGAGTTGCCACGCCTGGTGGAACTGGGCTCCCTGCTATTCAGCCCACAGCAAGACTACGGCAAGTGGTACCCAGAAGCCAGTAGAGAAGCCTTCCTGAGTGCTGCCCTTTGTCCCCCAAATCCCACGGAGGCCTGTTCTCACCTTTCTGTTCTCTCTTACCTTTCTCTCTACCCAGGAACCGGAGGGCTGAGATCTCAGAGAATGTGCAACCACCCAAGAACACCACCAAGATGAGGCGCAGGGACTCGCTGGAAGCCTTGTCTTCCTTGGTCATGTCTGCGAAGATCAGACCAGACTCAGCTCTTCACTGACACGCGAGTACTGGATGATGCATCAAGCCCTCCTCTCCTTCCACCCTGCCCCCACTTGTCAATGCCACACACCTGTGAATGCCAGCTCACTGCAGTTGAGCAGCCGCACCACTTCGTCCAGACCCTGCCAGCTTCGGCGCTCCAGCACCTGGGAAGGCGCAAGCTCTAGTTTCAAGTCTAAGACTGTATCAGGCTTAGGAAAGGAAGGTCACAGCAGCCAGACTGTCACCTTTCTTGCTAGTTACTAGGGTAGTTAAAAGTTGGGATAGGCCAGGGACCAAGAGAGAGTGAAATATGAATGGGAGTGATGAGTCACTTGTTCTCACCTGCTCAATGATTCGGCAGCTAAGGGGCACATAAGCACCGCTGAAGACATACGCCATGTCCCGTGGCACTTTCAGATCATACTCGCCATCCACACGTGGGATCTAGAGGGCAAAGGAGAATACATGAGGCAAGTGACAACTCATCTCTCCAGTCCTTTACTCCGTATCCCAGAGAACAGTTCTTATTTCAACTAAAGAGAGAACGAGCAATAGCCCTGGGGAAAAAAAACGACTCTGTAACCAAAGAGGAAAGCTTCTGTTCAGTACCTGCCGATTCTCTTGAATGAGTTCCCCATGCTCCCTACTGAAGGGCTGGAGGGAAGGGTGCCCATTTGTCCCCTCAGTGACAGGGGACATGTCTGTCACTGAAGCAGCACTGAGCCTATTCCCTGGCATTGGTAAGTGCTTGCTCCATGTTTATTAAATGAATGAATCTTTGTGTCTTGTCTCATTATTAAATTAAGCTTATGCTATAATGCTACCAAGTGAAAGGATTTTTATAAAAACAAAACGATAAAAAGGTTTTTGTGGATTCAGTGTCCTCCACAAAGGACTGAACCCGCTGCTTCCCTTATCCATCCCTGTTCTACATACCAAATTCAGCTTCTTGCTGATGGCACGAAAATTGCTCCTCTTGGCCAGAGAACTGAAGGCATCGGTAATCTTTCCTGGGGAAGAAATCTGTGCTAGGTTTCATCTAAGGTCTAGGGATTCAGGACACTGCCACAGGCGATACCATTCATGAAGTGACAGGACCGCCTCTTCTCAAATAGCAGGACCTATCACATCTGAAGACCCTCCACAGAGCTGTTCACCTACAATTCCCTGGAACTGATCAAGACATTCACCATCCTTCTCCCCACCCACAGTCTTCCCCTCCTTCAGGGTACCAGCTATCTACAAAATGCAATCTACAGGGTGACCCTAGTTTACTGGTTAAGTGTATAGGCTTTGGAGTCAAAATGACCTGGGTTCAAATCTGACTTACTAACTGAGGGACCTTGAACAAGTCATTTAACCTCTCTAAGCCTCAATTTCCTCATCTGTAAAGTGGAGATAATAAAACTTACCTTTGTGAGGATCAAATGAGAAACTATATCTAAAGGGCTAGCACATGGTAAGTGTTCAATAAAGGGAAACTGCTCTTACTAGCAGCAGTAGTAGTAATGACAGTAGTAGTAGGGAATCACATTCTCCTCCCCCAGCTCATTCTCTCTCTCTCCCAGGTGCTCTGCCTGTTGAGAGAAGAGGGAACAATAGCCAGGGAGGGAGAAGGGTTACCTGTGCTCCCTGCTCACCTGCAGCCTTGTCCGTCACCAGCTTGCTCACTTTGCTCTCTACAGCTGTGAGGGTGTCCCCCGGGGCTTGCTCCGTTAGGAGCCCAGCTCGCCGCAGATTGGAGAAGGTCAGCAGGTGCTCAGGGCCATAGCTCTGAAGAAAATGCAATTCGGCTATTTACTGAGTGTCCACCAAGGGTCTGGCACTGTTAAGTAATATGGAGGTGAGGGAGAGGAGGATTATGCAGTCTTGCTCTGAAGAGCTCACACTGTATGTGTGAAAGATTTTCATCAGAAATACCCAACACCAAACAGAAGAATAAAAGCAGTACGAAACTATTAGAGAACAGAGCAAGCTACTGATGTAAGGATGGTGGGGAAGGCTTCACAGATGAGGAAAGACTTGAGAAAGACCTGAAGGAAAGCCATATCAATGCCTCACAAGGTGCTAAAGTGAGGGCGAGTCCCAGGGGTAAGAACTCATGAACTGGTCCAACATCTAAATTGTTCAAACTCTCTCAGCACTGGCCACCCACGTGAGGGGAGCAGAGTGAACAGGGCAGTGGGAAGGGCCTCTGCGTGCTGAAAGGTAACTATCCCTAGAACCTCTAGGAGGGAGGCCAGATGGGAACAGGACAGTGACAGGGACAGGAAAGGGGCCATTTCTTCTTTTGCCTCTTTCAAAAATGCCCAACGACTTCCCTCCACCAAGTTCCTTCAAGAATACATTCTCCTGCCCTTACCTGCAGATACTGTGTTTTCAGGGATCGGTAATCCTTGGGGATCAATCCTGAGGGTAAGGAAGATACAGGTTCATGAGAACAGGTTCATGAGCGAGTTGTGGTGCCCTGAAATGTACAGACAAACCAACCAACCAAGCAACCAACCCTCATCCCCACAGAAAAACCTTAACAAGAAGGATTCAGTAAATGATGTTAACCTTGCATCCTATACAGTGGATTCTAAACTGACTCCTAAATTCAAGCTTGCTTATTGAAAGATAAAGCCTGGTTCTGAGAGTTCCAAGGAAGAGCCCTGAACCATAAGGGTGCTGAGGAAAGGACACTGAAACAACTACTAACTGTAGTAGGGGCTGGGGTGGAATGCAGCAGGAGAAGGGACTTCCTGTGCACTTCTTCCTGGCTATGTGCCAATTCTACTGGGAACTGCTTTACAGCTACTGAGGAACAGGAAGAGTATTCAAATGAGTTCCAAAAGTGCAGTCTTAAATGTTTTTCTCCACAGAGGTAACCAACTACAATAAAGGAGATTTAGAATAAGTGAACTACTTCTCTGGGCAGAAAGCAACCTTAAAGAATATTCACCAACTGGAAGACTTCAATAGTAAAAACAAGTTGCCATAAAAGGTTGCAGAATCTGGGCTTTTAAAATGTTGATGAAATTGGTTAGCTGTCCCTTTTTCCTAGACTGTATCTTTATTATGAAATCTTGTTGAAGGTAGGAGGCGAAATGGAATGATGAAGGAAAGGCCACTGAGCTCCACCCCTCTGCAGTCCTAAGATGTGGCAAGCCTTGTTCTGGGGTGACTGGATGTGGTCCTGCTTAGGGCAGGGATGGTAAATTACCCTAAGACCTAGGGATGTTTCCGAAAGGGAAAAGAATTCACAAAATTATAGGGAAACGTTCTGTCTGCTATTTCTTTCAGAATGATTTCTTCTATCCCCAGGGTATAGTTTTTCAATCTGGCATCTTTGGGCCCTGGGGCTCACCATTCTCAGTGATGGACAAAAGGCACATGAGGCGAAGGCTTTCTATCGGTGACACCTGAAGAAAGAGTCAGGGAGAATTCAAGTTTCATAAGGCACGTTCTTCTCTTCTCTTCCTCTTGCTGGAGGCTGACCCCACCTCTAAACACCATTCCCAGCATCCCCCGCCTCCTGTGCACCTGCCGGTCTATGTGTTCTTCAATGTAGCTGGTGCTCTCCCGGATGCTGAAGCCCTCCAGCAGCGCTGTGAATAATCAGAGGAGAGCCTGTTACTGGGAGCAGCTCAGCTCTTGCCATCTATGCTAACAGGTGTCTGTCTCCCCATCTCTTCCGCCATCCTTGGGGTGGGTTAAGGGACCCCCAGGACTTCTGGCATGAACCAGCATTCCACACAGCCAGCCTCAGCTGGAAAGAGCCAGAGAGCATCTTTTCAGGGTGGGATGGGGCCGGGAGCCAGGGAAGCAGAAGCGTGAGAAGTAACGGAGCAAGGCTATTACCATGCTCAGTCTTGATGAGCTCCTGGAAGTCCTGCTTGGTTTTCTTCTTCATGATGGATTCACAGGCCCCAATATCTGAAGACAGGATGAAAAGGGAGCTGACATAGTCCTGGTTTTAGAAGGATATCTTTTTATTATCCAGAAGAGTAAAAACCTCCTAAAGCAAAATGCAGAAGCACTTCTTCCCATTTTAGACCAAATAAGATTATTATTTGGCAGACAAGAGGATCTCCTCTCCAGAGGCAATGCTCCTCTGTAGCATTCCCCTCACCCTCCCCTTAAGCTGAAACTTACGGAGACTCAACAGGCGGTGCTCCTGTTTCAGTCCCTTGAGCTCCTGGGACACAAAGTTCTTCATCTGCTTGATGTCCATGCCCCTCCGGCGCTGTGGGGAAGTCCCCACAAGGTCAGCCTCTCCCTGCCCTCAGACAGGAGAAACCACTACACTCCCTCAGTTGCCACCCATCCAAGAGAAAGACAGGGAGCCTGCCGTAGATCAGAAGGGGAGCCGAAGGGCAGCAGCCTTGTGAAACCAATGAGGAAACAAAACAGAGGAGCCCAGGCTTGGAGCCTCACATCATACTGGGCCTGCAAGTTCCGGGCCTTCTGGCTCAAAAAGCCAAAGACATTGGAGAAGTGCTCATTACGAATCTCATTAAACACCTGTGAGGAGAACAAGACAGGAACAACTTACTACATAGAACCATAACTTGTGCCTTCCTACCTCATTAGTGTAATGATAGCGCAGGAGGAGTGCTCAGACTTATTCTAGCAAAAGTACAAAGAACGCTGAGCTGGTATCAATAAGTCTATGTCAAATACCTGCTACGTTCTCTGGGATATGCTCTTCACTGATGGGGCATCCCTCTCTCCCGTGGACTCAGCCTCCCCTCCCAGCCTCATGGGAGCAGTGGCCCTGGGGAAATCCACTGCCAGCCCCCACACTCTCACCTTGTCCTCAGCATTGAGTAACACCTTCAGGCTCTTGTCAGAGGATGTGACTTCTGGGCCAAAGTCGACACTCCCTTTGAGAGCAGAGGGGACAGCTATGAGGATCTCCAATGAGTCCTTCCTTCTCCAATGCCTTCTTGACCTTCTGTTAAAGGTCCCCCAAACTATTCGGAAGCCAGCAGCAGTTCACTCAGAGTCTGCGTCTCTCCCACAAGCCCTGCCCTGCTGCAGGAGGCCCAGGAGGACCACCTCCATCTTGCAAGATGCCACTTACCACACTTGATGCGGAAGGTGTCATCCACCAGACCCTCATAAACCACCTGGGAGCAAAGTGCCGTCACGAAGTCCATGTCTGAAACCAAGATCTCCGACCATGAGGGTCCTCCCTGACGCAGCCTTCTACCCAATTTGCTCAGTATCAGCTCAAGTGCCTTCCATAGGGCCCAAGTGCCCATGCTCCAATTAAGGCTGGCATTCACAGCCCCAACTTGAGGATCCTAACTGTGCCACCCTGTTTTCCATATTCCCATGTCTTCTAGGGTCCAAAGACGAGAGGAGTGCTGAGCATAATGTACCTCTGTCCAAGAGAAAGACATGTCCAATTTCTGGCCTTCGGCCCTTGGTTTCACCATCCTCCTCCTCCTCCAGTTTCCTCCACAATTCATGTGACATCTGCCAGGGCCCAAGATGTTCTCGATCTTGTATCCAGGTCCCTACTGCAGCCCTACACCTTTAGAAGCCAACCCCTTTCCATATGACACTTCTCCTTGACCCCATGAGGGGAGCTGATTATTAACAATATTACCTCTTCTACTCCCATCTGTTCCTATCCCTCCCTGCCCCTCCCCATACCAATGAAGGAGTATCTCCACCCCCACAGATCAAGAGATTTAGGAATGCTACCCAGGAGGTCCTGGCTTTTGCCTTTCTGTTAGCCACACAAATTCTCCTCTCTGAGGAACTATTCTAGGGCAATAAAAGGAGAGTAGAGAATATACCTCATATCACAGATGCCCATGGACAATCCTTGGTGGGTCAAGAACAGGTGAAATAGGGGCTATCGGGACAACAGTACTGCTAGTGCTCACCTTGGCACATCTGCCAATTCCATAGCAGTTAGGAAAGGGTCCATAGAGTGTGCTGAGAAGGTGCAAGGCCTGTGCCACAGTGTTAATCCAACGCTGATCTCCTTCCTGCAGGGACCATATGGGGCACAAAGATATGGATCAACCCGACAGATCCATCTGGAAAGTGGCTAGCCCTAGAAGCCCTAGAGCAGGAAGGCAGGGTCTGGGGAATGCTTGAAAGTTCATTTTGATTGGCCCCAAAGGAAGCCCCATGGACATCAATCAGTAGCACTCGAGCTCCAAATCACCATCACTCATAATAAATTATTTGAGTTGGATGAAGGTTACATCTATGTCTAGCCCAGTGGACCCCATGTTTGTCCCCACCCATCGATGCCAAGACCAAGGGCCCCACATTTACCAGGAAGTAGTCCCTGAAAAATTCTGGTAGTTCCATGCTCAACAGATCTACATCAAGAGGCAGCAAAGAGAAGGCCCATTCGTCACAGCTCACATCTGTGGGTACAGAGAGCATCAGCCTCCCTGCAGAAGGCACTTAGTTCCACGTTAAGAGGGAAGGTCCACCATAGTCATGCAAAAATTTCCTTGTGCCTGCCACATGCCGGGTACAGTACTAAGCACTGGATACTCAATGATGAATGACATAGTCTGTGCCCTGAAGGAGCTCACAGTCTGGTAACGAAAGGAGACCTGTATACGACAGCTTGTAATACAGTGTGATAAGGGGTGTGTTTCCATTAGAGGGCTGACCAAAAGTGCTGAGGAAACATTCATTCATTATCAGACAAATATTGACTGAAGCTGCACATAGGCAGGCACTAGGCGAAGCACTGGGGAGACAGTAGTGAACAAAACAGACACACTCCCAACCTTCCGGAGTTTACAGTCTAGTAGGAGAGATGTGCACCAGACAAATTTAATTATAGTTGTGCTCCAAAGAAGTAAAACAGCTGTCCATGAGCACAAATATTTCAGGGATCACCCTCAACCAGGGGTATGAGAAAAGACTTCCCTAAAGAAGTGATATTTAGGCTTAGATTTATTTATTTATTTTTTGATGAGGTAGATTGGCCCTGAGCTAACATCCATGCCCATCCTCTGCTATTTTGTATGTGGGATGCCGCCACAGTATGGCTTGACGAGCGGTGCGTAGGTCCACACCCAGGATCTGAACCTGCAAACCCCGGGCCGCCAAAGCGGAGCACGCAAACAACCACTATGCCACCGGGCCGGCCCCCTAGGCTTAAAATTTGAGTAAGATTTGGGTAGGCAAAAAGTCGCAGGGTAGAGAATATTCTAGGCAACAGGAAAAGCATGTGCAAGGTAACCAAGGCTGGAAGGTAGTGAGTTAGGAGAAAGGAGAGGCACGTGATGAGGCTAAGGGGCCAGATTGTGAAGGCACAGGGCGCCATCTCAAGGATTCTGGGCTTTATACTGAGCCACTGCAGGACTTGCAGCAGGGAGTCCTGTGATTGAGTTTGTGTTGCACGGTGAATGGAGTGAGGAAAACACAGAAGAGGGAAGGCACGATTTTTCCTTGCTGGTGTCTCGGAAGGTAAGACTAGAGCAGTTGGTGATTTCCAACTATAAGTCCCCTTCCCACTATCCCGCTAGTGCTCTAACTGGGGGTCCCACTCCCATTCCCTTCTCAGGAGCCTCTCTTCCCACTAGGCCAACAGGACTGAGACAAGGAAAAGGAGGAGATGGGGCAGGGGGAGCAACAATTATTTCCTTCTTCTATATGTTCTCCCCCTTTCCACTCACATTCATCTCCTCTCACCTCCATAAATTCCTTCTTCCTCAAGCACCATCTCACATGCATAAAACTGAAAGAGAAAAGGAAGCTGATTGTAACTACCTTCCCCTCTATTCTTTCCATTTCTCTAGAGTTTCTCTATGGTCACTGAGGAGGACAATACTTAGTGAATCCAGTGAAAAAGACAAGAGAACCTAGACTGTTAGATCTAGAAAGGAACACTGGAATCATCTAGCCCAACACTGCTTCTCTTTCATCCATTTAATTAATTTATTAAGTTAATTGCTTTTTTCTCCCTGAGAGAGTGGAAGAGCTTTACAAAGGAGAAGATATTCAGCTGTCACTGCAGGTGAGTCCTGCAGGCAGAGATGGGAGGAGGGGCATGACAGTGCTATAGAAGTAGTGGAGGAGGAGCATGCGGGAGGTAAAGAGCAGGGGTGTGGAGAGAGGGGTTTCTGGTTAGATGTCCATGGGACCTCTGGAGACACTGAGGGAGGTCTGGAGATACAGCCTTGGGGGTCAGCGGCACACACACTGTATTTAAAGTGGGTGGTTTGTCTAAGAGAAAAGAACACAGAAGGAGAAGAGAGCTAAGGACAGGACTCTAGGGAACATCAAAATTAAAGGGACACACAGTGTGAGACCTGGCAGAAAAGACTGAGAAATGATACACAGAGAGGCGGGAATAGGAGAAAACAGCAGCTCTAAGAGCAGGGAAGGTCAGAGTTTCAAAGAATGGGCAGTGGTGTCAAATGCCAGAGAAGTTAAGTAGGATGAGCATGAAACAGACATTCCTGGATTTGACAACAGAGGTCTTAGGGGACTAGATTAAAAGATGAAGGTGGAAGGGAGAAAGCAGAACCAGTGGCAGTAGATAATTCTTCACAGAAGTCTGGCCATGAAAGAAGGGAGATCCCCTGATTGAAGCGATGAAACGGGGAGAATTGTTTAGAAGGGTTAGACATGTTGAAGACAAGAGAAAAGAGTCTACCTGATGAAGCAAGAGTAGAGAAGGAATGCAAGGATAGTGCCAAGAACAAGGGTGAATCGGCTATCTCAGATGAGGCAAGGTCAGCGTCTCTTCCTCCTTCGAGACAAGTGGGGAAAGGATGAAATATTTGAAGGTAATGAGGAAGAAAGCTGAGCACATCCCATTGGATAATGATGATGACAATAATAATAGTGGACGTACATTAAGCATTTAACAGGTGCTAGGCACTGTTCTTAGTGTTTTACAAGGATTACTTGTCTTAATCCTCGTAATATCTCTATGAGGTTAACTCTATGAGGAAGATTAATGCTATGTGCTTATTTTACTGTTACAAAGAAGAGTCTGACTCATCCCTCACTCATTTCTGCCAGTAAAACTGAAATCTATAGGCCTACTTTTTTTTTTTTTTTTGGTGAGGAAGATTAGCCCTGAGCTAACATCTGTTGCCAATCCTCCTTCCTTGCTGAGGAAGACTGGCCCTAGGCTAACATCGTGCCTATCTTCCTCCACTTTATACGCGGGATGCCTGCCACAGCACGGCTTGATTAATGGCGTGCAGGTCCACGCCCGGGATCCAAACCTGTGAACCCTGGGCCACCAAAGTGGAGCGTGCAAACTTAACCACTACACCACTGGGCTGGCCCCTCTACAGGCCTACTTTTAACTTTTAATGCCAACTAATGGAATTCTAGAGCCCAGTTTGAAAACTGCCAATCTTCCCAATTAACAAAGGGAGTCTCAGGAAGAGATAGTGATTTTCTCTTCCCTACAGCTACTGAGGGAGAGATCTTCCTGTGATATAAAATTAGGTCAAAGAATTTTATTAGATAGGGTGTTAAACGGAGAAAATTCATAAAAATAACAATTTTGGTTTTCTGGGTAATACAGAAGCTTATTTGAAACTGTTACCAACTTGTTCTAGTCCCTGTTTAAACAAATCTGTCCTTGGAAGGGGTAATTTGAAAAAAAGGCTAAAAACTCTAAAAACTAGAAATTCTTGCCATAGCTCCTTTAATAACATTCAAAAGTAACCTGTGCTGAAACTAATAGGATATTGTATGTCAATTATACTTGAATAAAAAATAAAAGTAACATATAATTCTGATTGGTTGTCTTACTCAATAATTTCTTGTCCTAGTAATAATGTTATACTTGATATATTTGTATTCCTAAAAAGGATAAATGGCTGTAAGACTGTGCTATCAATCTTCAAATGATCTTCAAAGGAAGGTCACTGGCTCTTTCCTTTTATTCCTTTTACATGATGAGAAAACAACATAAGCCTATGATTCCACTAGATTTCTTAACAGAGTCTGAAAGTCATCTCATTTAAATTAGAAGAGATAAGTACTATTATTAACTCCATTTGACAGATGAGAAAATTGAGACACAGAACAATTAAGTAACTTACCAAGATCACACAGGTAATAAGTGCTAAAGCAAGGATTCACATCCAGACAGTTTGACATCAGCGTCTTTAGTTTTAGCTACTGCTTCTATTTTCTCTAGAATTTTCTTAGAAAAATTGAAAAAGAATAAACCCCTGTCCTTTCAACTTTAATTTCTGCCTGCTCTCAGTGTGCCATGCACTACTTGGTATAGCTTTACAGGCCAACAGCTGGCAATGTCAAGGCCTGGTACGTTGTTCCCTCCAATCAGTGAGACTGCAGATGCACCTCGCTGACGTGGAGGGGAGAGAGGAGCTGGGTATAATCAAGAAATGAATACTATACAGATCACCGAATACTTACTGCAATTACTGAGGTAAACAAGGAAGAGACCTAGCCTGGCTATGCTAATTCACCGTGTGACCATGGGCTTCAATTCCCACATTTGCTCAAAGCTGAGGTGGAGTAAAATGGTCTCTAAGGTTCCTTTCCTGTGTAAGAAAAGGCTCTTCCAAGGAATGCTGGTATGGTTCTAGTAACTCAGGGGCAGCCTAGCCACATGCCTTGGATAAGCCTGGGGGGTGATGATTTATTGTACTTGTTATTAAAGAGATATAGGGATAAAGTCACTGAAAAGCCATAATATCGTGCACCATTACTATATAGCAATTAGTGTTAGAAGGGACATATAGCAGGTTCTACTTCAAAAGTGTGAATCTTTTCATTTAAAGAAATCTATGTAGAGGCTACCTCTCACAATTCTACAATCTTTATTTGGGGCAGTTTGATGACCGACCCTCTGTGAAACAATCAGAGCTACACTAACGAAAAGACAGTGAAGGGTATTTTGTTCAGTTATATATAATTTGCTTTGAGGGAGATACAAATGTTGACTCCTTACCCCTCCCTAGTCCTCAATCCTGTTCTACCTTATCCCACTCCCTCCAGAATCCAAACTCACCTTCTGAGGGCTGAAGATCACTTTGTATTTTCGAGTTCGGCCAGCCAATTTGTCAGCATTGACAAGATCTACAGACAGAAGGAATGCAACCCAGAAAGGCCCAGTCCATTTGTTAGACTAGAAGCAAGGAAGCAGATATCCCCTACAAGTGGCATGGCCAACTCCAACAATTCTTTTCTTATTAATGAGTCCTTAGGGCCAAGACCCTTAGACCTTGCCCACCCTTTCCCAGGGCTTAGTTACATGCAGTACCATGGCATACTCACTGGCAATGTATCGCATATTCTTGATGCGTGGTCTGACCAAGAAGCACAATCTGTGGGAGAGAAGGGGGAAAAAAAACAACTCAGTAAAGAAAAATCATGAAGTTGGTGATAGCAGCTTAGAAGAAACTGAAACAATACCAACTCTTTCCCCATTTGCCCTTCTTGACAGGCCTACTGTTTTCATCCTAGCCAAAGCTATGCCAGCTCTCTTGGCCTACCACATACTGATCACAGAAGACTCCCCTAGATACAACAGGTGTACTGTGGTGAGCTGGGGGCACTTATCGGCCCTATGGTGGACCCAGAGTCCCTGCTCTCAAGTAATTTATAATCTATTGGGCAAAATAAGACACACATATGTATGGAGTATATTAACAGTCAAGTGCCAAAAAAAAATACAAGAAATAGTAATATAAAATAATGTTTTTCATCCATTCACAAGCCTGCAGTCTACGATTGATGGCTGAAGAGTGAGGAAAGCATGGAGATCTGTGAAGGCATTTAAGCAGCGAAACCCAATCACAAGGAGCATGAAACCTCCTCAACTCAGAGTGTATACCAACAGAAATAAATTTAAATAAATTGATATAATATTTTTAAAGAAAAAAATGTTTTTCAAATTGGGGTCCATGGATGTATTCTTCACATATCCAGGAGAATTTGTTCCTCTAAGGCAGGGTGTACAATACTTAAGTTTGAGAAATATTAAAACAAAACAACACAAAAAACCCCACCAGACAACAGGCAGTATAGACTGTGTGCCAAGGGAATAGGACAAATACTAAACACCATGGAAATCCAGAGGAGGAGGGAATCACCCTGGACGGGAATGGCAACAGAGAGCTTCACGGAGAAGGTGGGCCAGGGCTCTGGAGACTGCGTAGTTTTTACACGGGGAGCGAGGACAGAAGAGAATCTCAGGCAAGAGTGAATGGTGTGGCCAAAGGGGCGAAGGCACACGCAGATAGTTGGGAAGTGCATGGAACTGCATGTCAAGTAGAGGCTTGAGGGGCCGGTCCCGTGGCGTAGTGGTTAAGTGCGTGCGCTCCAATGCTGGCGGCCGGGGTTCGGATCCTGGGTGCGCACCAATGCACTGCTTGTCAGGCCATGCTGTGGTGGCGTCCCATTTAAAGTAGAGGAAGATAGGCACAGATGTTAGCCCAGGGCCAGTCTTCCTCAGCAAAAAGAGGAGGATTGGCATGTTAGCTCAGGGCTGATCTTCCTCACAAAAAAAAAAAAATGTAGAGGCTTGAGGGGACACGTGAGAGACCAGTCTGGAAAGAGCCTCCCTGGAGAGAGCCTGGGAATCTATGATGAGTGGTTTGGACTTTACCAGCAAGTAATGGGAAAGCCTGAAAGTTCTTGAGAAGACCATGATGAAAATATTTTTGAAAGATTAATCAATCTGGTTAGAGATGGTAGACTGGGTTAGAGAGAGAAGAAGCCAAAGGAGGAAGAAGCTGCAGAAAGGGAGACCCATGAAGAAGCTAAAGCATAAAGTAGGCATGAATCTGAAGGTGCAGGCAGGTGAACCATATCACAAACATGGTGCCAGATCTCAGCCAAGGACAGAGCAAAGGCAAATGTACGGGGACCTTCTCCAGCTTGGAGCTGAGCTGGACTCTCCCCGACACTCACTGTTCACTGGAGCTGAGGGCTGGCTTGTTCTCCACCTTGTACAGCTTGTCTACTTCGTGTTGCTATAGAGAAAATCCAACAAGACAATGGACATAAGAGTGCTTGGAAACCACAAAGCATGATACAAAGACAGGGGACTTCTAGAAGGGCTCCTATTTATGCTAATTCTAGGAATCAAATTGCCTCCCTGACAACCACCCCACTGAACCTTCCTCAAACTGTCAATAGAAAAACCAAAAGTAAAACAATTAAAAAACAATACAAACAAGAGCATCAGTCCCCCTTTGTCCACCTGATTCAGCGATCCTATATTTACCCTATAAGGATAGTCACTCTTTAGTAATTTGTATTGTTCATCAAAAGAAAAACTGCTTAATGAGGAAAGAGGGGCCTGCATCCACCTGGGAAAAGGGGTATATACCTTTAGGATGGAGACATTGGCAATTCGATCCAAAGGGCTCATGAGATCCGCCTCAATGAACAAGTCCTTTTTTCCTGGAAGCTGAAGGAGACATAGTATCTTGGGTCACTCATAGGTCACACAAACTCCCTCGGCTGAGAGCTCATCCAGCCATTCGTTTAATAGAAGCACAGCTTCTGAGCTGGAGTATATGTTTACTATGTCCTTCTATTAGGCTGTGATGTGCTCAGGTGATGGAAACTCCAGATGCTCGACATAACCAACCCCAGCACCTTATTCATTGTCTATATCCACAGTTGACATTTCTCTATATATTCACCTATTTTGTCTTCTTCTCATTTTCCGTAACAGTGGAAAGATATTTCACCATCTTTCTAAGGTTAAGTCCTTGTCACTCGACTCTTCTACTCTCCTGTGACCTTGTTCTGCACACTGCTCCTCTTCTCCACTGCCTCCTCTACTCTGTCTCCCAATAACCCTGATCTCCTGCTGAACCAAACCAAACAAAACAAAACCCCACCTTGCATTCCTGCAACCCCTCAACTAACTGCCAAATATCTTTTTAAGTAGCATTTTTCTTCTAATTACAAAAATAACCTATGTTCAATGCAGAAAAGCTAGCCCAGGACAGTCCTCACGAACCCACCCACTCTCCTACCCCAAATCTCTGTCATCTGATTCCTGCATCACCACTCCTAACGCTGCTCTCTCATCTGTCCAGAGGAAGGAGAGGTCACACTGAGTGGCAGAGAGGGGGAAGTCATTGAAAGTTTCCTCTCAACTAGGCCTTGACACATGGCTAGGGTGTTGGCAGTGACGTATTAAGATGGCAATCCAGCAAAGGCCAGGGAAAGAGGACAGGCTGAATGGTAAGGACAGAACAAGTAATTCAGTTTGGCTAATGCATAGGGTTTATATAGGGCAGTGGTTCTCAACCAGGGATGATTCTGCCCCACAGGGGACATTTGGCAAAATCTGGAGCCATTTTTGGTTGTCTGACTTGGGCAGAGGATGTTACCAGCATCTAGTAGGTAGAGGTTAGGGATGCTGCTAAACATCCTACAATGCACAGGACAGACCCACAACAAAGAATTATCCAGCCCAAAATGTCAATAGAACCAAGGTTGAGAAATCTTGCTGTAGAGGAATGGTGGGAAATAAGACAGAAACCAGTGACTAGAAATGGAGCATGAAGGCCCCAAATGCCAGGTTAGGGAGTTTGGAGTTGATCTTCTATGGAAAAAGGAAAAACAGAAAGCTTTTGTGCACTGAAGCATCCAATCAGCTGGGAATTTTAGTTAGGTAAATCTGGGAACTGTGGGTAAAACAGATTGGAGACATGAGAAACTGGAGGCAAGGAGTCCACTTATGTGGTTAATGCAACAGTCCAAGCAGCCCAAGCGTGTGGCAACTAAATGAGGACCTGATTTAGGCTGGTGGTGCTCTGAACAAAAATAGGTTATTTAAGAGATACATGGAAATATGTAACAGAATTTTTTAGTTTATTTTGCCGAGGAAGATTTGCTGTGAGCTAACATCTGTGCCAATCTTCCTCTATTCTGTATGTGAGTTGCCACCACAGCATGGCTGACAAGTGGTGTAGGTCCATGCCCAGGATCCGAACATGGGCTGCTGAAGCAGAACATGCCAAACTTAATCAATAGGCCAAGGGGCTGGCCCCAGAATTTTTAAAATACTTGAAAGAACAGTGCTTGTATCTGATGGTAAGATTATAAATGATTTTTTTCTTTACACTTTCCTTTATCTTCTATATTTTCTACAACATGTATTATTTTATAATCACTATTTAAAAATTCAGGTGTAATGAAATATCCATAGGATGCAGCAACTGGTTCAGTAAGTATGAGGGGAGAAAGGAGACTCAAAGATGATTCTGAGGTTTCAAGTGTGAATAGCAGTGACCATTAACAAGAATTAAGTCAAAAGAAGTTAATTTGAAGAGGATATTATTGCATGGAAATCCACTTTGTCCATATTGAGTCACCCTTGTGGGAAGCTTTTCTTCACCTACACTTCATTTATAAGTTTCTATCCTTGGTCTCATTTACTCTTTTTCATGTGATTCTCACATGAACTAGTGGCTTTAACTAGCATCTCTCTTCAATTCCTCAGACATTTGTTGAGTGTCTCTTATGTGCAAACCATTGTGCTACCACTATGGGGCATATAAAAGAGAAACAAAATATAGTCCCAGATCTCCTGAGGTTCTCTGAGGTTCTCCCAAGTCCCCATCTTCATCCCAGCTGCAGCTCTACATTTCTATCTGCTGGATGTTACAGCAGTATTTCCTACCAGTATCTTAATTTCACCCTATCAAAACCCAAACTAATCAACTTCCCCCACCAAACCCGTTGCTCTTTCTAATTCTTTCTTCATTTACATTCAATGTTCATGCAACAAATATTTATTAAGCACATGCTACATGCCCGACTCTAAGCTAGGTACTCACTGGGTACCTAGCTTAGTTTGTTTAGTGTTGAACAAAACAGACATGCTCCTTGTCCCCAAGGACCTTCCAATCTATTGGGGAAGATGGACGTGAAACAAATAACTATACATATAATCCACTATGATTATAGTAACAGCATTATTTTTCCATTAACCTAAGTCAAAATTTCAAACTCAGCTTTGCTTCTCTCTCAACCTTCACAACCAATCAATAAGTCTTTGAGTCTTCTTTCACCATGACTTAAAAATCCATCACTTCCCTTCATTCCCACTGCCACTAATTTTGTGTGGGCCTTTCTTAGTTCAGTCCGATCTATGGCCTCCTAACTGGCCTTTTTTATGTGTGTGTGAGGAAGATCAGCTCTGAGCTAACATCCAATGCCAATCCTCCTCTTTTTTTTTGCCGAGGAAGACTGGCCCTGGGCTAACATCTGTGCCCATCTTCCTCCACTTTATATGGGACGCAGCCACAGCATGGCTTGACAAGTGGTGCGTCAGTGCGTGCCCAGGATCCAAACCTGTGAACCCCAGGCCACCAAAGCAGAGTGCGTGCACTGAAGAGCTACACCACCAGGCCGGCCCCCTAACTGGCCTTCTTATCACCCATTTCCCCACTCCACACATGGCTATTAGAATCATCTTCAAGTACTGCGAGTATTGCTCCATGCGACAAACGGGAAAAAATCTTCAGTGGCTGCCTAATGTGTACTGTGTAACTTCTGATCGCTCTCGTCCCTGAACATGCCTTTCCCTTCCCTATTCCTCAACTTTGCTCCTATCAGTCCATCTGTCTGGAACACACTCTCCCATCTCTAAGGAAAATATGCTTTTTTTTTTTTTTGTGAGGAAGATCAGCCCTGAACTAACATCCATGCTAATCCTCCTCTTTTTGCTGAGGAAGACCAGCTCTGAGTTAACATCTATTGCCAATCCTCCTCCTTTTTTTTTTCTCCCCCAAAGCCCCAGCAGACAGTTGTATGTCATAGCTGCATATCCTTCTAGTTGCTGTATGTGGGACGCGGCCTCAGCATAGCGGGAGAAGCGGTGCCTCTGTGCGCGCCCGGGATCCGAACCCGGGCCACCAGTAGTGGAGCATGCGCACTTAACCGCTGAGCCACGGGGGCCGGCCCAGAAAAATATGCTTCTTCTTCACACTCCAGCTCCTTGAAACTCCTAAATAACTCTAGCCAGAAATGATGGCTTATTCTGAATGCTTCAGGCACCCTAGCTGTCACTCATTTACCACATGATACCCGGTGTGGGAATTTGTGTTCCACACAGCTACTAATGGAGTGTAAGATCCATAATGACAAAGACGTCCTAAGCATCTTTCCATCCCCAGTGATGGCTGGCACTAGTGGTGTTTCCCTTCCCTGTATGAAAAAAAGTGATTTCCACTAGCTCTCAGGCCAGGTCCCAAGCAGCTCTTACTGCCCTCTGATTTTCCTCCCTGAGTGCTGCTTTTTGGACCTGCTGCAGAAGCTCCAAGGACACCACCAAGGGCCAGGAACAAGATCAAGACGTCTCCGCAAAGAAGAACTATGCGTGCAGTGATTGTTGAACTGCTGATGCACTAAAGGCCCCAGGCATGGCGGGCACTGACCTGCTCCAGCAGATAGATGAGCTGGTCTCGGGCCAGCCTCTTGAGCATGGAGAAGTCAGGCAGCTCCGGGGCGTCCGGCCGATGGGGAAAAGCCATGGCAGCGGTCCCCTGAGCCGCGGGGTGGAAGAAGGAGGACGCTCCTTGCTCTGAGAAGGCCGGCAGCAGCGCAGGGTCAGCGCAGGGTGGCTCTCCTGCAGGCCTGGGCACTGACTTCCAAAGAGCCCCCGAAGGGGCCCTCGGTCCTCAGCTACACTCGAGGAATGAAGGGCCACCTCCCGGCCAGAGAGCCGCAGCCTTGAGCGGCCCTCGCCTCAGGCCTGCAGCCACCGTGTCCAGACCCGCCCCTCCCTGTGCCACTCTGCCGGTCAGCAGGATTCTGATCTACACCCGCAGACTGCGCGGCCTGAGGGAAAACCCCGCCCCCTGCCAGACTGAGAAGCGACTTCCTAGACCTCCCGGAAGGCCCGTTCACTCGCCCAGCGCTCAGCATACCGGGAAGGGGACGGCGTCCCGGAAGGGACGTTTGAAACCGGGAGGCAACGCGTCAACGTTCCAGTCTCGTTGCTGGCCACAGGCGGTGTTCTTTGCATGAAAGAATTATACCTTAAACTAATTTTAAGCGAACACCGAATTCTCCTCGCTCACTCAAGGGAGAGTTGGGCACTTGCTCGATTTTCAGAACTTCGTAAAATGAGCGAAAGCAACTCGGAGTCCGGAGGGCACTGATCACTGGGAATCTTGGCTGTCGATCAAATCCGCTCCACACATTTAGCTGCGAGCTAGGAGCATTCTGGCTTCCCAGCTGCGGGAGGCGAGACGCGTAGAGATGGGCGGCGGGGGGAGAGCCTAGGGGAGAGAGGAGGTAGGGAGGGGCGGTAAATGGTGAGGGGAGAGAAGAGGAACGTGGAAGAAGCCAATGGAAGCTAAGACGCGCCCGATGTGACCTTTGGATACCGGAGTTTTGACTCATTAATGCCCTTTGTGGGAAAATGGATAAATAAACTATGGCACATTCATACAATAAAAACTGAATAAGTGGAAGAATCCAGACAAGAGAGTGGCATCTGTGTGGTGCCATTTATATAAGGTTCTAGAATAGGAAAAACTAATCCATGGTGAAAACATTTCAGAAAAGTGATTGACTTTGGGGATGAGAATTGACTGGGAAGAGAAATTAGGAAATTTTCAGGGGTGATGGTATTGATCTATATCTACCTTGTTTAAAAAAAAAGCTTATGAGAGACATTATAACGAATAGATCCAGCTGACAAAAGCTGAACTCACTAATCAATCATAATGATACCAAGCAAGGGCTTGATCTGCCCACTGCAAGATAAGAGGCCAAGCAGGCGTGGTGGACAAAGAACTTTAATAAGCAATAAACTAGCATATCGGAAGATGGTGGACTATCGTTCTAAAAAACCCATCTTAAAGGGAACTGATTTGGAAATGCGAATCATAAAGCGAACGGGAGTGGGGAGGGGGCTCAGAAATGTCACGTCATGGATGACCATAGATCATTTGACGCCTCTCCATAGTGGATCTGCTGAATGAAACATTCCTGAGGAATTTAAGAAAACCTCACTTCTTTCCTTATCTGGGACAGAAGGAACAGTTTGGGCAGAGGACATAAATTTTCTGCTAACAAGCTATTCTTTCTATCCATCACAGATTAGCTTGTCTACCTACAGTTCTAAGCATTTTTCCAAAGCATATTGTGAGAATGAGATGGGGAGGGGAGCATGTGGCCTTGGGGGCTGAAGTTCTAAGAGTCCTCTGTGCAGGGGCAGTTGTCTTTCCTATTTCTTCATGGGCCACCTGTGCAAATTCGGGGGGATTCTATGTGTTGCATGTGATGGATCTTTAGTTTATGACGTGTAAAGTTTACAGTCAGTCATTTTAGCTTCTCAACGTTCCTGCATGCTGCTTAGTCAGGCAGAAGGCTGTCAGCAAGCTACTCTCTCTTATCAGCAGTCCTGCTGTTCTGGGAGGCGAGCTCAGAAAGTTTGGTTACTTTGTTTCCCACATTAACCTTGTGGGTGCAGGCACAGTTTCATTCTAATCCGGGGAGATTTGAACTCCATCCTCGGTTTCAGTAATATCACATCTTCATTTCCTGGTGAGATGCATACGAAGTACAGAGCATCATCCATTGCCAAAAATTGAACCCGATCAAGCCTCAAGATCTAACCACCCGTTCATAGGAAATATAGAGGGTAGTAGGAACATGATAAAAGACCTCATAAGGGTGAAATCAACCAAATCCAAAATGCAGGAAATTATATGGGTCAAATAACCTGTCAAACAGCGAGGAGAGTAAAGTTGAAGGGGAAACCACTTTGGAATAAAAGAGACTTCTGGGACAAAACACAATGCAGTGTTGCAATGTGTGGAGCTTGTTTGGATCCTAATTCAAAGAAATCAACTGTAAAAGTCACTTATGAAACAATCAGAATACTATCAGAATATTAGCTGATATTAAGGAATTGCTAAAACTTTTAAGGTATAGTAATGGATTATGTCTATGTTAAAAAGGAGTCCTTATCTCTTTGAGATACATACTTAAGTACTTACAGATGAAATAATATGTTGTTCGGGATTTGCTTTAAAATAAGCCAGGGGGAGATGTGAGGAAGTATGCAGAATAATGAAAAAAGATTGGCCATTTGTTAAATGTTGAAGTTGGGTGATGAGTACACAGGGGCTCATTGCATTACAATATTCTATTTTCATATGTTTGAAAAATTCTATAATACAAGATTAAGCAAAAACAAACATTGTGCTCCCACTGGCTTTCAAGAGCTCATCTGGTATTTTATACTGAGCTTTTTTCCCCCACTCTCCCTTAGTTAGATCAAATCTGCAGAGAGGTGGAGGCTGCCCTGAGCAAATGAATGACACATATTCCCTCCAGGGCTCAGGGACTTAAGTCCCTTCTGTTGTACAGTTTGCCAGCCTCTCGGGCTTGGCCCCAAAGTTGCTGAGGTGCTCATTCCACCCACAGCCACTTTCTCTCTACTTGGGGCAGAGCCTTGTTATCTGTTGCCTCCTCCACCAGATGCTGCACCTGTGCCCTAAAGTGCAGCTCCAATTCATGCAGTGTGGTGTCCAAGTCCTTCATCATGTCCTGAAACAGGACTGCCTGGGGATAGGGCACTACGGAGTCCTATGACCCCCAGACCAATGGAACACAGGCTGAGTCCCCCATCCCCCTTTCCAGCCTCCCACCTTGGTCTGGGTGGGCAGAGCAGTTTCCTGAAACACCTCGATGTCGGTGGGTTAGGACCCAAGACACACTGATGGGATAGAGCAGGAACAGGTCAACCTGGAGGAAGCTTAGGCCTTGTTGGCTGAGGTCTGGATGGGTAGGCTGGCAAAGGTAAAAGGCAGGGCTTTCTGCCATTGCAGACTGGCTGACTGGTATGAGGTTCCCCAACATTTCTTCACTCATGCAACCAAAACTGAAATCTACTTTGGCAGCTGGAACTATAGCAATGAATAGACAGGTCTCCTGCCCTCATGGGGTCTACATTCTAATGGGTGCAAAATAGGTGATGACAACAATACAGTAGTAATATATTTCAAATACTGGGGAAAATTAAACAGGGTGTGGTGATAGTGGGAACATGAAGGGAGCTGCTTTAGATAGATCAGGTGATTAGAGAAGGCCTAAGAAAATATTTGATCTGAGACCTGAATGACAAGGAGCTAGCCACATGAAAATCTGGGGACAAAGAATTAGTAAATGCAAAAGCCTTAGACTAGCATTTGCATGATAAAAAGGTTTAAGCTGAGTGAGCAATAGGATGGTAGAGGATGAGGTAAATGGAAAACATATCCAAGTTTGTAACAGCTTCTAGTTTCCCATAGACCACTGGGGAAAGAGCATGGTCAAATGATTTGCAGGAGTTAGAAATGCAAATTTAAATAGTCAAATAGCATCTTGCACCTCTTATACAACTAAAAGGTTCTAAAGCCAAATTACCAAATTTTTTTAAATCATAAAAGTACTGATTAGCTTTTACTATAAACTACATGATAGTGACAGAGCAGTGAGAACAAGGGCCTTATCTGCCCACTTCTGTATTACCAGAATCTGGATTCCCTTTTTTTTTTTTAAAGATTTTATTTATTTATTTTCCCCCCAGAGCCCCAGTAGATTGTTGCATGTCATTGCTGCACATCCTGCTACTTGCTGTATGTGGGATGCGGCCTCAGCATGGCCAGAGAAGTGGTGCATCGGTGCGTACCCGGGATCCAAACCCGGGCCGCCAGCAGCGGAGCGCGCGCACTTAACCACTAAGCCACAGGGCCGGCCCTGGATTCCCTAACTTTGATTGGCATGTGAGGGCCTTGCCATTTATACTGACCAAATACTCAATTTAACAGTAACCAATGATACTGTAATTGCTACTGACATCTGAAATAGCAACAAGACTCATGAACAGACTGTCAATGACAGGGTTGGAATATCAATGTTTTCATTAAACATCCTGCATATATTTAAATTCTGAATAATCAATTTTTGCTGGTAAATTGTTAAAATGCTCGATTCCTGGAATTTTAGAAGCCTTGGATTAAGGGTCACACCTGGGTCCAAGTCCCAGTGCTGTCACTCACTAGCAGCCCTGTGGCCTTGACCATATCCGGAAACTTTTGAGACTGTCTCCTTATTTGTAAAAGGGACCTATTATCTGTTCTTACCTATATTACAACACCCTTGTAAAACTGTAAAATAGATACTATTTAAGCTTTTGAAAGTGGCTGGAGATTATGTTGAGGGCCCTAAAGCCTTTGCCTGCTTTTTTTTTTTTTTTTTTTTGGTCAAACCTCCACACCCCAATCTCTTTTCAGAACCCTAGCAACTAACAGAAAGAGAAGCAGCTTTACACCGGGTGATAAAGGCCTAACGTCCAGTTTCTAGCTGTCAAAATCCGCCACTGAGCAGGGTGATCTGCAGAGCCCTTTGTTGGGGACTCCTCTGGCCCCATCTCTCTCCCAATGTTTAATAAGGGATCCTTTGCCTCTTCCCTTCCCTCACTCTCCAGGTTCACAGGTAAACCCTCTAACCCCAGAGAGCACCAATCAACAGAGACTGCTACATTTAACTTTATTTTGCACATAATGAAAACAATCAACTGACTTAAGCAGTTCCAGAACCGTTAGTGTTCGTTAATCAAAAAGTATACGAGATCAGAAAGCAAACTTTTCATTTCCTCCCAACATACATTGCGAGTATCACAGCAACTCCTCACAACACATGCAACATGGGCTGGTTTCAAACTACAGAGAGCCCAAGCAAGAAGGGTGAGTACTGAAGATCCATATGGGTCAGACAGGAGCTGCTCCAGGAAACTAGAACCTACCCAGCCCATCATTCACCCTGTCTCCGTACACATCTGCCCTGTGAAGTTCACTGCCCTTTGTCAGATTCAAATCCAAACAGTTCTTTCCTCCCACATTCCAGGCTCATCATTTTCTCCTATTCCAACGTGGATAATCCATACAGAAATCCAGGCAGCTCCGAGCATACTTGCCCCGCTGTTTCACGTGGCATCTCCACAAGCCAGGCTCCAGCTAAATTCTGTACAAGAAGTTCCCATTGTTGTCAAAGAACTCTCGCCCCCTCTGCACTACTTTGCTGCTGAAGTTCTGGTCACTGGGCTCCTCTGCCTTCAATTCTTCCAGCTTCTTGTCACTTAGCAATCCATCACTGTCAGTTCCTCTGGTGCCCTCACAATCACTGGTGGAGCACTTCTGCAGCTCCCTCCAATGACCTAGGGCTGCAGCAACAGGCACAAAGCTCTCCTCCTTCAGGACCTGGATTCCTTTATTCCTTCCCTTCTGTCTCCTTGGTGTATTTGTACTGTGACTGTTCAATTCTGTGAACAAAGCTGTGCTGTGACCCTGGCCTTTGGATGAGGCTTCATCCCTTGGAGTCAGCAAAGAGCCTGACACAGAGTGGCCTGCAGAAAGCAGCTGCAAAGTCTCCCCAGAGCTGGGGAGCTGCCGGAGCGAGTGGGCAAGCCCAGCTTTCTTAAGAACTTTTCGATCCTGCTTCAGTTTCTGCTCCAACGTGGGTACAAACTTGCTTTTTAAAACCCTTCGGATCACATCAGTGCTGACATCAAAACCTTCAGCCAATCTGGGAACTGACCAGGACTCTGCAAATTCCTTATGTAAATACCTATGGGAAAAAGGAGCAGGTTTTCAAGTTTTGAAGAAGTCTATCAGAATAGCTAACTGATAATACTAGTGATAAATATGTGAAAAGAACAAGGCTTAGAAAAACTGCAAACATAGTCTCTATCTTGTGCCACTAAATGGCCGTGTCCCATTCCTGTGTGCCGACAGCAACACCCAGCCACTCTTAGGTCACTTATTTCACATCAGCTGAACTCTTCCCACTGCACACCATGCTGCAGTTAGATCCTGGGGATGCATGAAGACTGTGCTTCCCCTCAAAGAACATACAATCTGGTGATGAAAACAGATACTTTAACATACTATAACACTGTGACAAGTCTCAAAGCAGAGGATGCTGTGAGAGCACCCAGGAGGAAGACCCAGGGACAGGCTATCACAACACTTGCGGCATGGCCCAGGAACTGTTCAGGAAGTCCACACTAGAGCTGGTCTGAAAGGATGAAAAGGAATAATAAGCTGGCAGAGAGGGGAGAGGAAGAAGAGATCAAAGGTACTGACCGCAGAGTGAGCAGCATGTGCAATGCAGAAGCACATCACCTTTGTGGGGAACAGCTCAACTTGTCTGACAGCGAAGGCAGGAGCAAGATCATGTCATGCTTAGGGTTCTGCAGTTTATCACAAAGCAACAGCAAACCAAGGAAGGATTTTAAGCAGTGGAATGTCATGAGCAAATTTTCATTTTGAAGTTCAATTCAGTGGTAGTTTTCAGTGGCAAGACTAGAGGTGGAAAGATAGGGCAAGAGGCTGTCACAGTAATCCAGGCAGTCTGAACTGAGTGGCAATGAGAGCAGAGGAGGTAACAGACTTGAAAAATATTTTAGGAAAGCCTAATGGTAGATCTTGGTAAGAGACTAAATATTAGGGGAAGAAGTAGGCCAAGATTCAGGATTTTAGCTTGGTGACTGTTGGGACCATTCAGGGTTATAGCAAAAATAGGAGCAGAATCAAGTTGTCAAGGAACAAGGATGAATTCTATTTTGTCCACGTTGAGTTTGAAGAACCTGTGTGACATCCAAACAGAGATGTCTAGAGCACAGCTGAATACAGAGTTCAGAAGAAAAACATGGACTGGAGATGACAGATCTGGAAGTCATAAGCCAACAGCACAGGTGGTTAAAGCCATGCAAGTGGCTGGCATTAGGCAGGGAAATATGCAGTGAGAGAAAATGACGAAGGTCACAACTCTGAAAAACAGCAATACTTGAGGCCAGCCCGGTGGCGCAAGTGGTTAAGTGTGCACACTCTGCTGCGGCGGCCCGGGGTTCTCCAGTTCGGATCCCGGGTGCGCACCAACGCACTGCTTGTAGAGCCATGCTGTGGCGGCGTCCTATATAAAGTAGAGGAGGATGGGCACGGATGTTAGCTCAGGGCCAATCTTCCTCAGCAAAAAGAGGAGGATTGGCATCAGATGTTAGCTCAGTGCTAATCTTCCTCACACACACAAAAAAAACTGCAATACTTAAGATACAGAAAGAAGAAGGGGGGCCCAGGAAGAAAATTGAGAAAAGCGGTCCTAGAAATACAAGTGAGTGGTATCCTGGGTCAAGGGAGAAGAGAATTTCAAGGAAGCAGACTACAAGGGGTCAAATGCTGCAGAAATGTTAGGGAGGCTCAAGAGTAGAGTGTCAGTTATGCCTAGCACTGGGGAAGTCACTGATGGATTTGTGGAGAACAGTTTCACTGTAGTGATCAAACAAACAAACAAACGAGGGTAAGCAGCCAAGGAGCCAGCTGGGAACAAAGGGATGAAGGAGACCCTTAAGTTGACAGATGTAGGTCCCTGAGGAATTAGGTAGGGATTTGACCTAGAGCACACAGACAACTGGTCCTAGACAAGTGAAGGGGAAGGGAAGCTACCACTTCCCCTGAGATGTAAATAGAGTATAAGATTGAGAATGGAAGGTAAAGAGGAAGACCAAGAAGTTTTAGAGGGTTCTTACCTAATGGCCTGTTTTTTCTTTGAAGTGAAAGGATATTTACTAACCACAAAAGGAGAGGTGACAGCTAGGAAGCTAGAAGGTTTGAAAAAGCTGTTGTTCAAGACAGGAGAGGAAGCTGACACGAGACAGGTGCTACAGGCTCACAAAATCTTCTTGATCAGCTCGATCAGCTCTACAGAATCCCCATTATTCTAGTTCTCAACTCCAGAGTCACTCTGACGGGAAGGGAAAATGGTACATAACCTATGGAGGGCTATTTAGCAATATTTATCAAAATACAGATCCATTTGCCCTTGGACCCAGCAACACTACTTCTGGGAATGCATACAACAAATACACCTGGCAGGGCCAGCCCCGTGGCTTAGCGGTTAAGTGCGCGCGCTCCGCTGCTGGCGGCCTGGGTTCGGATCCCGGGCGCGCACTGACGCACCGCTTCTCTGGCCATGCTGAGGCTGCGTCCCACATACAGCAACTAGAAGGATGTGCAGCTATGACATACAACTATCTACTTGGGCTTTGGGGGAAAAAAGTAAATAAAAAAACAAAACAAAACAAATACACCTGGCAGATATGTGGAATGATATTTGTTGGGGGGCCGGCCTGGTGGTGTAGTGGTTAAGTGCACACACTCCACTGAGGCGGCCCAGGGTTCACAGGTTCAGATCCTGGGCATGGACCAACGCACCGCTTGTCAAGCCATGTGGTGGCAGCATCCCAACTAGAAGGATGTACAACTACAACATACAACTATCTACTGGGGCCTTGGGGAGAAAAAGAAAAAAAGGAGGAAGATTGGCAACAGATGTTAGCTCAGAGCCAGTCTTCCTAAAAAAATAATGAAATAAAAATAAAAGTAAATAGAGCATTATTTGTGATAGCAAGTGAGGGGAAACAACAAGTACTCATCATAAAAGACTGGTTAAATAAACTAGGATTTACTATGATTTCTATAAAAAAGAATGAGAAGCTTTCCCTTTTGAAGTGGAAAGATCTATAGAATATATTAAATGAAACAAATGTAGAACAATATTTATAGTATTCTACTGTTTGTGATTAAGGAGGTGAAAATAAAAATCTATATTCATATTTGCTCCTTTTTGCATAAGGAAACCTGGGAAAAGGCACAAAAAAGTATTAAAAATAGTACCTATAGGAGACTGACTGGGATTAATACCTCTCAATTTGTATACCACCTTATACTGTTCTAATTTTGAACCATATGTAATGTATTATCTATTCAAAACAAAAAACAAAATTTTAAAAAGGATCGCTTTCAGATTTTCTAAGATATTGATCCTCTCTTCAGAAAAATGTACATAACCATGGAAGCCCCCATCCCTGGACCTTAGGTTAAGAGTATCATGATCTACTATTTAGGGGCTAAATGTCTGATGCCTGCAATTTACTATTGTAAAATTTCAGCAAAAATGAGCCAACTGTGTCATAATGCTAAAAACTATTAAATCTAGATGATGGGCTTATACAAGTTCGCTATATTATTCTACTTTTCTTTCAAAAATCTTAAGCGATAAAAAGTAAAAGAAAATATAAAAGCAATATTCTAGGTCTCACTGTCCACGTCTCATCACAGCAGACCCAAACCACCGTGTGAGTCTTACCGGATCTGCTCCATGGCTTCCCACGTCAGGGTCCTGGGCGGGGCACCCGGCGCCTCCATTTGCCTCCGAATTTTCTGGAACCGGGCGGCTTTTTTCTGTCGTTTCAGGGTGCTGGAGAAGAAAACCAACAGCAGAAGCCATGCGTGGAAGCCAGATGGGTGGTTGAGGAGCCTCGGGCTAAATCATGGAGCGCACAGCCCCCTTCTCTTTGACCTGCTCTGTACACCGCCCCAGGAGCCTAACACCTAGAACAGCCCGTAGACATGCTGAACTCTCTAAATGGGGGACGCAACACGTCACTGGTGAAGGGACCCGTGATCCCAAGGGAGCTGAACACCTGCCCTGCGCCCCTGACCAGGGCTAAGAAACAAAGGGCGCGGCAGGTGCGGCGGCGGGACGCCCGGCGCCAAGGGGGCGCGGCCTGGAGCGCTGGAGCGCGAAGCCCTGCTTCAGGCCGAGGGCCCGGGAGGGAGCCGGTACCTCTCCACCTCCTGTAGCTCCCGCTCCTCCGGCTCCCAGTCGGAATCGGGGTCCGGCTCGCGGCCGACAGAGCCCGGGCCCGCCACCCCCCGGGTCGCGAACCCACAGCGAGCGACGGCAGCACGGATACGCCCGCCCAGCAACAAGCCCAGAGTCATGGTCATGTCGACAAACAACCCTCAAACGCCCGACATGCGGCCACACCGGAAGCCGGAGGGCGGGGCCGGAGGTGGAAGGGGCGGGCAGGAAGCAGGGGTCGCTCGTCTTCCCGGCTTCCGGCCGAGGGCGGGATATCCGGGCTTGAACTCATCCGGGGCCCGCTCTTTCCGGCTGTGACTGTGGAGAGGGCTTTCCCGACACACCAGGGCTGGAATGAGGGACTAGACCCTCCTGCAAAACGGCATAAACTTTAATAAAAAGATGGAGTCAGTTGCCAAGAGCTGCCCTCCCGCCCCAACGGCTTCCCAGGCCGGCGTGTCCAGGCGGGAAGGACGGCCCCTCGGCGGTCCTCTGACGGCGACAGCCCCGTGCCTTGGGCACTCGGCTCCTCTGGGTAAGGGGCTCTTGGCCGCCGGGATGACGACCAGCCCCGAGCCGCACCCAGGGTTCAGACCCATCACCTAGCGGTAAATCCAGGCTGAAGTTTGAAGGCGAAGATGAGTACACGGCCGGCCCTGGTTGCTCTTCATCTTGTAGTCTTGACCGATCTAAAAATAATCTTAGGGTATTGAGGAATTCTTGGTGTCTTTGTGTTTTGCTTCATGCATACAGGGTTCCTGGCCAGGGATTTTCAAACAAGCTTGCTGGCAGTCTTTCATTTAGCAAAGATTGGAGGCCCTTTGCCCCTTTGGAAACCAAACGGGGTCCTCCAGGAGAGGGTGAGCGCTGGGCTTCCTTCCTGCATTTACCTGTGGTGGCTGATGTCGAGGAGTGCAGTGGTACGCTGCAGTAGGGGTGCGGAGGCAGGGCAGAGGGTGAGGCTCTGGGCCTTGGCTGCTTTGGGTTCAGAGTCTACCATGGAGGGCAAGGCGCGTTCGGTCCATGAGCCACTTGCCGCTCTTTCTGGTTGCAGAAGATAGCCTGCTTTGGAGTTAAAGAGGATGGCACTGATCCTGCCAGGGCTCGGTTTATGGCTTCTAGCCTTCTGCTGGCGTGGCCTTCTGCAGTGGAAACATGGGTCCCCCTGAGCTGGTACTCGTGGAAGAGATTTGCTCACCTCTTTCCCAACTGTTGCCCAATTACCAACACAGAGGAATGGCGTCCCATGCTTCCCTCCAGCGTCTTTACCACACTGTATTGTAATTTGTGTGTTTACTTGTCCATTTCCCTGTTAGGTTTGTTGAGTGCTGGGACTGTATTTGCCATTTCTGTCACCAGGGTCTAGTACATAGGAGGTAGTAAATAAATGTGTCCACTACCTCCCCCATTCCCACACTGGTGGAAGTGCCATATTATATTTGGGAAGCATCCCAGGTGTAATATTTGCCAGTGGGAATTTACACAAGTCAGCGTGACCAAAGCTAGTTTTGCATACTTACGACTAGTGAGCCTGACTCTGGCGCTGGGAAAATAGCGCCTTCCAGATTTCTTCACTGACAATGAACAACGGCCGATGGCTGCTGGATCTCTTATCCAGTTGAAGTTCTTGGGCTGTAGATGGCACTGAGAATGATGTGGAACTGCAGCATTCATGCTTGGCAGTGGCCCTAAGATCCTGGGGATCAATTCGTGGGGCCGAACTGGATGCAGGAAATGAGGAGGGCCCTGCTCTTTGGTGGTCCCCCTCAGGAGGACCAATGGGACCAGATTCACAGATTGCAGTTCTTGACTGCCCAGCCTGTCCTGGTGAAATCTAGGCTAGAGGAGAAAAGCAGCCCCTTACCACATTTCTTGTGAGACTGGATGGAGTTGTAAAAGAAATAGATAACTGAAAAATCTAGGCCATAACCACTGTTTAACCAGTTACTCCTTTGGGGCTCAACAAAAACAGAGGGCCCAACAGGTTTGCTACTAGCCCAGGGAATATTGAATGTGGCAGCTGTTTTGTTGGCCCAAGACTTTTTACTTATCTCCTGCTAGAGCTACGGCACTGGCAGGGCTAGGGAGAGATTACACAGAAGCCACTGAGGGTGGTGGCCTTGTTATTTGTCAGTCATGAGTTTGGAGTTATTGCAAGACAGGAATACAGAGAAGAAGTCTCTTGTAAGTGAGAAGGTTGGGAGCTGCACTTTGCTGGATGTCATTACTAAAAACATGGAAGCTTGGAAACAGATGCAAAAGGAACCAACAGACCCTTTCCCAAGGCCCAGCATACACTGCTTTCCCAGGCTCCACTGCCAGATACCATCACATTAGCTTCCTGTGCTGTGGCCACCACCATGTGCCAGTACAGCCCTTGTTCCCCCATTCTGTGAGAGGCTGTGTAGGGACCCTTACCCGATACTCGTGAAGTTTTCTCTGGCTCTGGTGGTTAGGGTGCAGCATGTGGGTGAGCTGCTCTACAATACCCAGGCTTCGGATGAGATTCTCCCTTTGTAGCAGGGCCTTCATCCGCTCCAGCTCCTCCTCGTCCACAATTTCTTGAGGCTGCATGGTGTCCAGGTGTACCGGTAGCAGCTACAAGGTACATGAGAGATGAAGGGAAGCTCTCCTAGGATGAATCCCAAACAATCAACAAGGATGGCTGTGGGTCTCCTGCCCACTCTACCTCCATCCCTTCCCTGACCCTAGTGGAAGGTTCCCTTTGCTATCCATTCTCTCACCTCCAGTTCCAAAAGGTCAGAGTCAGTGTACTCATTAGGAACTCATCTCTCTCTCATGCAAGAAGAGGAGAGGAAAGCAGAGATTCCCTTCTCTAGTAGTCCCAACCCATTTTCCTGCAGAAAGGCAAGAGCTACAAAAGCCCTGACACCTCTCTCTCCCGGTTCCGGTTCCGGATCCTGTACGCCAAGTGGGAGGAAAAGCCCCGGAGCCTGGGCCTGGACCGGCTCTTCTCCCCTGCTGATTCACCCTGGTTCTGGTCTTTGTTTTCCTTTCGCCTCTTATTGCCCAAGGTCTCCTGCTGTTCCTGCTTCAGGCGGATCTCTTCCAATTGTTGCCTGACAAGACACAGCAGCTTCAGACACTGAAGAAATTGTTTGGGGGAGAAGGGGAGTAAGGGAAAAATGGGGATGGGGAACAAGTAGGAAATTATGATCTGTTTTGGGGACTAATGGGAGAGGAATGAGGGGGTAGATGGGAAACCTACTAAACTGAGTCATTAAGAGTCTGATAGAATTGATAACTCCATTCCTCTTTCCTCAAGTGTCTGGCTTGCTCTCCACCCTGCTGGGGAGCAGTTCAGCTTCAGGAGTTGCCGCCACCCATGTGGACAGAGGAGAATGCAGGGCAAAGTACCTGGCACACTCCTCTCTGGCCTTGGACGCAGCAGTCTCCTGGAAGAGGGAGCCATTGTGCTTGAAGAAGGGTGCATACTTCTCCGTGTCAGGGCCAGGGTAGATCCGCCGGTACCCGCCCAGGTGGGTATCCTCATAGCGTTCCTGGTCCAGCATTGCTGCGTGGGACAACTCAGTTTGTTCTTGCCTATTGAAACCAAGGTCAGTGTGAGTCAGGGGAGGACTGTGAGAATGTTCATAGGAACAGGAGGGCTGGCTAAGGCTTTGAGAACCTCCCACCAGCTGCATGGCCTTTCAGGCTCCTGCCGGTGTGGTGAAAGCTGCCAAGTCCATCTGTGGCCAGTCCCACCTGTGTGTAGACATGAAAATACCCTAGACTTCCAGAAGTCTAGTTTTCATCTTAAGGGCAAAGGGGTCGACTTGTAAGCTAGCATTCCAACTTATCATAATCTTTTATCTATAATCTTTCTGATTATAAAGGAATATATGTTAATTATAGAAAATTTAGAAGAGCAAAAAGAAGATAAAACTTCCCCTAATCTTACTATGCAGTTAGCCTAGTGGTTATGAGCAGGGCCTGCAGGCAGCACCTCCTGAGTTTGAATCCTGGCTTTGCCACTCACTACCTTGCTCTTGCTTTATTCCTGCCTGTCTTGTTCTAGATGAAAATGGGGTCATACAACAACATTTTAAATGGCTGCCTAGTATTCTAGTGTATGATTGTACTTTTGTTTATTAAGTCCAGTAGTTTTCAACCTTTCTTCCCCATTGAAAGACATGATTCATACCAGCCATGTGCATGGTCCTATCTCGTGGGAATCCCCAGGGTATTTACAGTTCTACTTCATTTCCATTCGAACAAACATTTGAGTGCCTACTGTGTGCCAGGCCCTCAAAATATCATGGCAGATCAAATACACACTGGCCCTGCATATTGCAATGCAGATGGGGAAGAGTGATGTTATTATAGGAATAATCCTAAACCAATTCATTTTTATGTATCATTAACAAATTGTAATTTAGTATCAGGACAAACTACCATGTTTGTGACCCATCTTACAATTAAGACAACAGTAAGTGAACAGTACTGATTTAAACAATCCCCTATTGAATGACTAACCAGTTTTCTGTGTTTCATTTTTATAAACTTTCTTAGGAAATGGTTTCTAGAGGAGCTTTGTTAAAAAAAAACAGCTACTCAAACCACAGTAAGCGTTTTATGTGCCAATATGAAATAGCTCTAAAATACATTGCTGGGCCGGCTCCGTGGCTTAGCGGTTAAGTGCGCGCGCTCTGATGCTGGCGGCCCGGGTTCGGATCCCAGGCACGCCCCAAGGCACCACTTCTCCGTCCAACCCGAGGCTGAGTCCCACGTACAGCAACTAGAAGGACGTGAACCTATGACATACAACTATCTACTGGGGCTTTGGGGGGAAAAAAATGAATAAATAAAATCTTTAAAAAAATAAAATAAAATAAAATAAAATACATTGCTAAGCAGGGTGCACAGTGTATGAAAGTTATGCTACTGTCTGGGTAGATAAAAGGAGAAAAACAATTTGTTTAAGTACATGTATATTAAATGTTTGTGAAAGTATACACATGACCCTAGGAACATTGATTGGCTCCAGGGGAGAAGACTGAGTAGCTGGAGAAGAGTAGGAGAGAGACTATTCACTGTATTTTTTTGAATTTTGAACATATTATCTATGATATGTGATATTTTATCTATGCAAAAAAAAATGTTTTTAATAGCTCACCAGCCCCAG